TTCTGAAAGCAATGTAGTTTCATCACATTATTTAATTATCAGAAGATATTTTGCTTGATGATAACTAATTAGTTGCAAAGGTCCCTCTTGCAGCACGTGGCAGTTATGAGGCCGGGTTGATTTAGCAAGAAGCAGTCAGATTCTTTATAGCAGCCCTTGAAGTAATCGTAAACTGTGGACACAAAGACAGAAAAAGTTTAGTTCCATGCAGTTGTCTGTGATTTAAATGATTAAAGTTGAACTAAAGGAGGTTTGGACTCACCTGGCGCGTGGAAGATGGCACTTACACAGACATTGTTGGAGCCGGAGCAGGTCTCTATAGGGTTTGGACACCTTCTTTTACCTCCACAGTTACACCTCAAGGCTTCATCTTGGAAATTAACAAAAACGTCATAAATCCAACATAAAATTCATTTAAGAAAAAACATATTTTGACTGCTTTTTCTACCAGGTTTGCAGGTTTACTCACTCTGACTGACGAGCAACAAAACCAACACGGCAAGGATCACTGGCTTCATGTTTCAGGTCTGACAGTATTTTAAAAAGTCCAGAAAAATGAGAAGGTTATGCTCTTTCAACAAATATCATTTGGAATATTCAGACATTAAAAATATGAACGCATCTCACCTGGCAAACTGTGCTGCTGAAAGGTGAACTGGGAAATGAGCTGCCGAGCAGTACACTCCTTATATTTGAACCCAGATGGAAGATTTAACCATTTATTGACTTTTAAACCACCATCTGGGTTTTTTCTCACACACAAGGTCAGAAACTGGTGCCGCTCACACAGCTGGCCTACGAACTTCACAAGTTTTTAGATTTCAGTTAATGAGGTGTTCTTAGCTTTCTCCAACGAGTCCTCAAGGAAGCTTCTTTGTTGTATTATTAGTGATTGTGCATGCTTGGTTTTCTTGTTCATTTTTCGTTTAAGTCACTTTGTCCAGTTGTGCCAAGACTTTCTGAGTTCAACAAAAAACAAGTGTCATAAAACATAAACCCACCCATCATAAAATTTAATTTGGCATTTAATAAATATAATAGCTTGAAAGTATTAGTATTTAATAATAGTATTTCCTTAGATAGATAACTTTACTAACTGGCTTTTTAATGTATGCGACTGTTTTTGTACAGTGCCCTGACTTGGTGCTATACAAATAAACTCAATAGAAATGAATGAGATTTAATTGCTGTACTTGCCGCCGTACACGTTGCACCACCGTATAAGTCGCATCAGTCCAAAAATATCTAATTGTCAGGATTTATCAGGCAAGGAGCGAACCCAATAGTTGCAGACAGGACTCTGGACGAAGGAGGTACAAAAATATAGATATTTAATAATAATAATCCAAAATGGCTGACGTGGCAGCAACTCACACTCTTGAGACTGGAACACGACAGGACACATCAGTACAGGACAAGGAAGACCCAACAATAACGCAACAAAAGACAAGACTCACAGAGAGGCTTAAATACACAAACGACAGGACGTGATTACAAACAGCTGGGAACGGAAGGTGGAATTAATCAAGAATGAGACACACACAAGGGTGCACAGACAGGGAAGGCCCAAAAGATGGCACCATCCCTACAGGACACCCCCTAGTGTCCCCAAAAAAGACTTGGGTGGGTGGAGGGAGGAACTGCAAGGATGGAGGGCCCAAGACAAAACATGGAAAAAACAAACTGACAAAAACCAAAACCAGGGAACTAACTAGACACAAACAGGGGAACACAAAAACAAGTCTGGGCGGTCATTGTTCTGGCAGGCAGCCGGGAGACTGTCCAAAACGCTCGGGTAAATTCGGCGGGTGACCGTTCAGTACTAGGAGCGAGTTCAGGAGGCCAGCCGGGAGGCCATCCAAAACGCTGGGGAAGATCCGACGGGTGGCCTGGAGACCGTCCAATGCTCAGGAACTGGTCAGAAGTGCAGCCGGGAGGATGTCCAATATCCTGGAACATGTCAGGTGGGCGGTCAGGAGGTTGTCCAGCACAAGGCACCAGACTTAGTGGACTGCCGATGGTGATGGACACCTTGCAAGACCATGACCACCTGGTGCGGGGAAAGAGGACTGAAAGGACCATAGGTTCTTGTGTGGGCCCCACAGCTGTCACCGAGGCAAGAAGAGCAGTAGAGACTGATGAGCCCAGGGTAATTGTAGCTTTTAGTGAGACCGCAGGTGACCTAGAAGTCCCAGGTATAGATGTGACAACCTCAAGATGGCAGGAGACATGAGAGGTGTCCTCCAGGACCCCCTCGAGACGTGTGACGTGAGGGGCATCTGTCAGGACCCCCTCGAGACAGGAGACGTGAGGAGCGTCCGCCAGGACCCCCTCGGAGCAGGAGATGTGAGGAGCGTCCGCCAGGACCCCCTCGGAGCAGGAGAAGTGAGGGCTCAGATCTTCTGCGGCAGGATCTTTGAAGACGGGATCTTCTGCTGCTCACAGACAGGCTTAAGTACACAGACAGACAAGATGGGACGCAATTACAAACAGCTGGGAACGGAAGGTAGAATTAATCAAGAATAATGAGACACACACAAGGGTGCACAGACAGGGAAGACCCAAGATGGCGCCATCCCTACACTAATAAAGTGGAAAAACATAAATAAGTCACTTAGCCATATAGTTGCACCTATTATGCATCACCGCTGACTGAATACCCAGGAATGTGGGCCGGTGTTGTGCTAAAAATCGATTGGCTGCCAAATGGCGGCTGCGGGAGCATGCATGGGAGGACTTTAACAAGAATTTAACAAGATTGACACTTAAAAACAATTATTTGCTTGCTTGAAATTGTAGCAAAGGTGTGTCTCAGTTTAACTTTCCCTTAATAAATGCACTATATTGGTCAAATCAGCTACATTTCAAAAATAGCTTCGCGGAAGCATGAGCATGCAGACGGACGAGTCACTGTGCATTTCTTCAAAATTTAACAAGCTAACCACCTAAAAACAATTGTTTGTTTGCTCGACATTATAGTAAAAGTGTGTCTCAGTTGAACTTTTCCTTAATAAATGCACTTTAATGGTCAAATCAGTTGCATTTCGCATGAGCAGCGCGGCGAAATGCAACTGATTTGATGTTTGTTCCAGGAGTTCCAGAGCGAGATGAAAATGGCTTGGTATGGCAAGCCAAGCATCTCATTAATAGCCACTTTTCCCTATTAATGAGACACTTGGCTTGCCATAGTAGTCTAGGGCCCTCTAGCGGCCGCAAATGGTAGTGTTCAATATTTTCCACGTCAGAATGAATGAAATCGTCAGATCTCAGCCAAAAATTGGGTTAAAAATATAGAGAAAAAAACGTATATTAGTCGCTTTGGTGTATAAGTCGCAGGACTTGAAAATTTATGCAAAAAGGTGCGACTTATACAGTGAAAAATATGGTAGCTTATTGTCTCCATAAAGTGTCCTTTGTTGAGAACAGGTGTTGTAGAAATAAACTGAACGCCCTGCTAAATGTCAGGAAGAGACTGTGACCATCTATGGAAAAAATATTCAAGCACCTATTTAGATTTTCTGAAGCTCTGATACGATTACATACCTGTACTTGTGAGCTTACATGCTAAAACTTCCACATAATTGGATGTTTTTAAACTTTTGAAACGTTTTATTGGGATCACATCATGGCATGCATACACTCACCCCACCTCCCCACCCATTATTATATTCTGACTTTTGTTTTAGTTCTTTTCTTGGCATCATTTACATATGAATCATATTAGGTGAAAAAACATCATTAGACAAAAACCATTGATGTATGTTCTACAGTTTTATTTGATCAGCCAAAGAGAACTCGCTGTAAAAGAATAAAACTCTTGAATATTCTAAACAATATAGGAGCATAAATCTTTTACAAACAAATAAAATAAATATTGAAATTTCTGAAAAACAGGTTGGTGAGGATGCTGGCTTATATGGTGTCTAACTCTTTCTACTAGTTTTGGTTTAATTAAGTTTAATCAACATTCGCAACATAGTCACAAAATCATTGCAAACATCTCGAAACTCATCTTAAACTCTTCTCAATTTAGTTTCCGTAGCTTCAGAGCACTGGAGCCGCATGTTTTGTTGATGTGTGCAGTATCCTGGTGTTCACCTACCAGTAACTTCACTGGGATTTAATAACGCAAACCTGTTATTCAGTGTAAACCTAAGTTAATATTTGTGTAAATTCTCACAATTTCTTGTCCAGTCAAGCACAACTGCAGCTCAGTGAGATATCACCGTTAGTTTTAACTGTTGTAAGGACTATTATAAAAAGACACTATTAAGATATCTACTTTTGTACTTCACCAGCAGGAAGATTTGTTATACAGATTTTTCAGTTACTGTGTAATTGAGTTATTATTAAACAATTTGATTAAATCTAGCTAATTTAGATAAAACTAAATAGACTTATAAATATTTTATGGTATATGATGTGCACTTCTTTGTGTAGTTTAACCATTCTGAAATTACAAATAGCTGAACTGAGAAAAACATTCAATAAAAAACAATCTAAACAGTAAGGTGCACATATCTTTCATGCAAAGTCAGACGTGTGTCATTCCCCTCTCCCGCCATGTTAAAAAAATTCAACATCTCTGATGTAGCCTTCATATAAATACAGTGTTTCTTTGCACAATCAACAGGTTGTCACGATGAATGCTTATATATTAATTTGAAAACCTTTTCCTTAGGAAAAAATGTTTAAACAACTTTACCATGCAAGAGAGGTAACAGGTATAAATGGCAAAATGCTCCGAGGATGTTGGAAAAAATACAGGTACTGCAGCCACTATTGTGGAGCACTTTGTTAAAGACACACTTCTGTAAAGCCAAGATAATGCACAAAAACATGCTTTTGCATAGAAAATGACAAAACAGGGGCTCGAGTATTAAGAGGTTAAAACAAAGCACATATTAACAATCTCCAATAGAGATATTTTAAACACTGTAAAAAGTTGCATGTCAGTAACTATGTTGCTTAAAACAGTTTGTCCATAAAACATGGAGACTTCAGTCGAAGTCCAGGCACCATGACTGGTCAGTGCTCTGAGTCTGAACACCAATGCTGGACCTTCGCGATGATGTACTTTCAATGTCCCTACTTTCCACAGGTTCTCTGTTTCCCAGTAGACAATCGAAACTGGTGCACTCTGAGGCAGAAGAGCTGTCCAGTGGGAGACTGGGTTGTAAATCTTCCAGTTGTATTGATCCTGGGTCCAAAGGAGAGACAGCTGGCTTGCAGAGTAAAGTAGATGAAGAAGAAAAAATGGGATGGGTGAAGGTGTGCGAGTCCTTCATGTGGAGGAGAGATGTATCCTGACTCAGGGGATGAAAGGCCTCTTTTGAGGCTTGTGAAATGTTGACATGGGGATAGGAGCTGCTTGGTGGGTCCAGCAGGCTGTGCGTAGATGAACTTGTTGCAGCACCGGACAAAAGGCAAGATAATTCACCTCCATCACTGGGAGGCTGCAGGCACAAAGTGGGATGAGACTGGCTAATAGTGGAGGGACTACCACTGAGACGTCTGGAGTCTTCATGCCCCACATGAGGTGTTAGGCCAGGTTGTTCACCAGAGTAGCATGGACTGAGAGGAGACGAGCTGGTCCACAGGGAAGTCATGCTCTCAGAGCTATGACACAGACCTAACTTAGGTGCAGAGCTTACAGACAGACAAGAGTTAGTGGGAAGACTACAGGACCGGTGGCTCCCAGTTTGGGATTTAGCGATTTCACTGCAGCTCCACTGGGCAGCAGCTGGGGAACTTTGGTTGTGGGCTTGGAGGCTCCCAGGCTTGGTATGGAGGTGGAAGGTTAAATCTGCTGGCATGCCAGTGTTGGAGACTGTTGGAATGCAGGAGGGGAATGAGGTCTTGTGATGATTTACAGAAATATGAGCTTGGAGGAGATTTATCATGCGGTGCAGATCCTTGGTCAGCTCTGATACTTCTTGATGTAAGGTACCCACCTGTGTAGAGTGCATAGGAGTGTTACTGGCCTTATAAACAGAAATATATTCTATCCTGCCAAGAATCTTATTTTCTCAATGTTAATTTGGTAAAGCACATAGAGACATTGCTGAAGTTTCAAAAACACTTCATATTTGTTGGGTATGATTATTTATTTTGTGTATATCATTTTCAAATATTATTTAAAGACTAAACTAAAATATTTCTAAACAAAAAGACAGACAGTCCACAAGCAGAGCTCAAATATCTTATTTTTTCCCTTTTAGGTAATTGAGTCAGCACTCAGGTGATCATCTGCAATGCAGAAGTGTCCTGCTGATTAATTAATAGTTACTGTAAGCTGCACCTTCCCAGCGCAGTTGGGATATTTGCATCACAACAGCTTTCACTGGAAGTGCTCTCAAGTGTAAAATCTGATCGACACGCGGCGAGAAGCTCAGGCTTGATCAGTTTAGTTTTTTTAATCTAGATAGAAAGCATAATAAATGTTTAGTTTGTCTCTTTTAACATTTGAGTGTTTCCTTTCTGAAGTTCTGAAAATTATCTCCAACGAGCTGAAATCTTTCCCTTTGATTCATAAACAGTCACCCAAAATTAGATTAGAAAATAAAATCTGTAGAACTAGTTTAATTTTAACCTACAGCTACATTTTTAGTTCTGTCAAATTTAATCTGAGTTAAATGAGTGTAAAGTACCTTAAGGTTTAGTTGGCTCAAGCCTTGCTTGACCTCCTGTGTCTCCAGCAGCAGAGTGGCATTAGCTTGTGTGGTCTCTGAAGAAATGAGAGAAAAGACAAATTAAACAACGGAGTTAGTTGGAAAAACACAACTCAGGCACACTACCCAGAACATTTATTTTACAAAGATGAGACAAAATTATATAATATGTAACTTCAACAGGGGGCAGCATTTTGTCATTATTCTTGGAAAAAAAAAAAAAGTTAAGTATTTAATGGACAATAATTTTAGATAACATGCATGTTTTACATATCTTTAAACAAACTTTGAAAGAAAACTGTATTATTAAATAAGACTGCAACCTACTACTGCACAGGACAAGATTTGCACAGCTAATAACTAAAGTGTGTGTAGCCAAAGCTATTGCTTTAGTAAACTTGTTGAACCTGAACCTGCCAGTGATCCTAGGACTGTTATCAGTGAACTCTGCTCTGACCTCACTTATACTTGAACAGGTTCTCTGACTCCTTAGACACCTGGCTGTCATTTCACTCTCCTGTGCTCTCAAATTTCCTCAGAAGGAGGCAGCACCGTCCTGTGGCATTGACTGTATGAACTCATGAATTGCCATCTGGCATCAAGATCACTCTCACAGCTGGAGGCAGTGTGTGTTACCTTGGGTGTTGCCACCTGTGCTGGTGTTAGATATACAGCGCTCCACGCTGAAGCTGAATTTGTGCCCGGTATCTTCAGTGCCATCAACAACCCTGACAGGAGGGAGGAGAGGAGGGATGGTAAATGGGTTAATGTAACAGTAGAGCTTTTTCAATTATCATCAGAGCCACAAGATGAGCCATGAACATGCCATGAGAGCTACTGTTGGCAGAGACTCATGTGGGTTTAAGCTTGAAGAGAGGAGTCCAACGTGGAGGGAGTGAGACATTTGAGCCCTCTGAACCAGCACTTACCCATATCTAGAGCTTATTGGGTGATGCATTATAAATACAGACAGATGGAGCATTAAGATAAGGTGCTTCTAGTAACAAAATACAGTAACATCTGTTGTAATATGCAATGCAAATAGATCCCATCTGCAATAATCACTTGATGCAGGTCTCTGTAGCATGGACTGAGGTGTACATTGAAGAAAAACATATTTAAATAATTTAAAAGATAAGACTTGGACAATTATTGTTTACTGATGTTGTGTATATTTATATAAAATATAGATGTATGGTCCAAATAATTTACCTGAGATAACACAGACAAGTCATTCTTTCTTGCAAGGAAATAAATGTAAAAATAACATTTCTGTAAAAAGTTAACTGTCATGTTGAAGTGGGTGTCAGAGAGAGACATAAAATAAAGAATCTAAGACTGAAAAGGGCAAATTAGCTCTGGGGTAAACTTAATGACGCAAACCAGTGTGAGATGAGAATTAAATGGACACATTTGAGAAAACACTGTTTAAAAGAAAGGGAATCGTCTTTTTACACATGCAACATCAAACACTCATCAGAAATTGTAGCTAAGCTAATTTAAACTACATTGAATGTTAATTAAATGTCAAACTAATTTCATTTTCACATTAAACATGGAACTTGCATTTACAAAAAAAAGTTATTCGAGGAGTTCAGTTTTCCTTGAACTTTGGATGTGCTCGTAAAGTTGAATGGACAGAAATTTTATGATACCTGGGACTAAGATCTGGTGGTGCAAAACAGGTGATAGTTGGGATGGGCAGCTTTGAAGGCTTTTGCACAGTTACCAATTCATTTTGGGTTGATGTTGACGCCTGGGACCGAGCTAATGCTGGAGAACTGCGCTCTTTTTTCAACGCTGGCTGAGAAGAGGAGCTCTGTCCAAGGAAGCTGCGGCTGAGGTTTGGAGAAAGGCTGCGTCGCAGTGCACTGAACTGCCGCAGTTCATCCCCCAGCAGATTCCCCAGGGAGGTACGTCGAACGGGACTGGTGAAGCTGGGGAGAAGGAGATTACGACGGGAGTGGGTGGCTGGAGATGGGTAAAAGGACTCATCAGAGTCATCATTCCTTGTCTCCACTATTGAGGGGAGGTTGGGTTCCTGCAAATAAAGGAGAACATGGAGTTACGAATTGTAAATTCTCTAAAAACCACAAATCAAACCCAGAGGCTACTTCATTTCTAGTGGTTAACATTGTCAGTGTGGGCATATCTGGGATATCAAAGTATATGATTTGTTACAATTACAATGAATAAAACCTTAAGGCACCACTGTGACTTTTCTTGTGAAAATGGGGAAAAAAGACTTGGTATAATGGTACATGGTAGGAAAAGTAGCTCAAAAGATTTAGAAGAGTTACTGACCCAGTTAGAGAACTAACTCCTGGGACTGATCTGCTGTCTCTTCTGAATGAGTTTCAACCTGTTAGGGAAGACCTGGCACACATTCCTACCAGACTCACCAATAGTACAGCGTACCCCAGGAAAACAGGAATGGTTGCCTCAAAAAGGCACATGCTGCTAAAAACATTGGTTACGTACTGTAATCCCAGATTCTATGAGTATAGGCGCAGCCCTTTAAGGCTATCGCTAGTGGGTTTATCCCTTCTCGTGCAGCGCAGCACTGAAAACTTTAGTCCACGCGCACTTGCTATGTGGGCCTCACCCCCGGTCCGTATAAATTACGGTGAGACCGGGTAATCGGCTCCCAAATAGCTTTTTTCTTCAGCCATTTAGAAACCAGTGAGGCCCAGAGCTTAAAGGGCTGCGCCTATACTCATAGAATCTGGGGTTACAGTACGTAACCAACTAGGGATGCACCAATCCACCTTTTTTTTAATTCCAATCCGATCCCGATACCTTGATCTGAGTATTGGCCGATACCGATCCAGTTCCGATATCATGATCATCATTGATTTTATATGAGGCTGTAATAATCTCCTCTCAAGTACGGTTTGTACAAATCTATGCATGCATGTCCAAAAAGGCAACTTGAGGTAAGTTTTATTAATGTTGGATAAGTTTCAAAGTTAGAATTAAATTCTGCTAACACAAAACCTGTTTCTTTTTATTCCTAGCTTTAAAGTGGATATTAAAGTGATTAATTTAAGTGATTGTTTAAAGTTGTTTTATATTTTATAAGGGGCAGATATAAGAATTTTTTTCTTCTTTCTGCACTCTTTTCATTCAATGTTTTCTTTGTAATGATTTTTTTTTATTTTGTTTCATTTAAATGAATGAATTAAATTACAAAAAATGTTAAAAGGCTTCAAACACCTGCTAAGTTCATGACATAAACCAACAGACATGTTCCTGTTTTTAGTATTTTACATCACTTTATAATGCAGCTGTTTATGTTTTTAATATATATAATTTTCAAATCATATGTTTTTTTATGATTGTCTACTGTTGTACTGATAAATATCTCCTGGAGGGTAAACTATATCTTGGCTGCAAGTATCAAGCTGTGAAATCCTTGGTTTTCTACAACTGATAGTGGTTGGTCATTAATTATGATGAAGTTTAGCAACTTCTCTGTAAACATTTGAGCACTGTGGTTTCAGCGACATCTACTTCTTGTTCAATCCGAAGCAGGCAGCCTGATTTGGGGCAGCCGCGTTCAGTCTGTCCCTCCTCGGAGACGGGCAGACTGAGCGGGGCAGATTGGACGCGGCTAGCCGGGGTTGAGTCGCCTCTTTTGGTTTGACCAAAGAGTAGTGCCCCACTGAAGCTACGGAGCTCGAATGTCCATCGTAAAACTAACGTTAACGTGGGTTAATGTGGCGCTATGGCTCTGCAGACATTGCATGATGCTGTCTTGTTTTGTGGTGTTTAGTGTAAAATACTTCCACACAGCGGACATGTTTAGATGAAAAGTTTGTTAGCTGTTAGCCACAGTGCTGCTAACTCAGCCTTCATGTTGAGAAACTGGCTGCAAACTATGAACTGGATTTCCTGAATGTGAGGTGGGTCTTATTACTCTGGGCTCGTGAGACACGCTGCCGTTCAGGAAATCCATTCCATAGTTTGAAGCCAACATGCATCATGGATCGGAAATATCGGCAGGAGGATCGGAAAATCCGATACGTAAATTATGCTGGTATTGGAGGCCGATACTGGATCGGATCGGCCCCATCCCTATAACCAACGTTCTATTTCGTATAGGCTTCACCCTTTAAGGCTATCACTAGTGGGTTAAAGGCAAAGCAGGATGTAGTCTATGCCTCACTGGGTCCATTCAGACACAATATGAAGCGCCCGCTTGCACCAAAAACATTAAATCAACTCAGCCTTCTGTGGGCGTAATTACGCGTTCCATGCACAGAAGTGCCCCGGAGAGAAACGGTTTCCGATGGGGAAAAAAGGGAAGGCTGAAAAGCAGTCCTGCTGCTGAGAATGGAAAAGAACAGAGGTTACAAATTGTAACCGTGTAAAAGTGAGCAGAGCAGGTCAACAGCTCTTCAATAAGAACAGATTAATAACAAATGAACTGATTAGTAATCAAATTAACTGATTGGTAACAGTAGTCATGAACTAATTAGTCACAAAAAAAACAGCAGTCATGAACTTGTGACTGATAATAAATGTCTCACACTGTAATTGCATGCAGCATGCAGATGTGAGTTTAAAACGAAATTCCATGAAACAAGTAAAATTCATTCTGTTAGAACACTGAGAACAGAATGGGTCATGGAGAAAGCGGAAACATCACGCAGATAAAAACGAATAAATGAACAAGGCTATGACCAAACGGTCGTTGTACAAATGTCCTCCACTGTCATCCCTCCATGCAAAGCTGTAGACAATGAAATCCCTCTGGTGGAATGAGCTCTGAGATTCTCTGGAGGCTCCAATCCAGATGCGCTGTAAGCTTCAGAAATAGCCTCACACAGCCAGTGTGAGAGGTGCTGAGTGGATAACGGGCGACCTGCAGAGATGTCCCTATAATGCACAAACAGACGCCGAGTCTGGCGCAGAATTTTGTGTGATTTCTTGAGCTGCGGTGACTTTTAAAAACCTGTTTAGAGGTTACCGGCTCGTTTTGTGTGGAGGATGTGTGAAGAGAGGCTGCTGTGAGATCATTCGATCTGACAGTCAGGCTGGAATCAGAAGACACTTTATTCTCTGAATGATGTTTTCGTTTTATTTTAAAACTCATGTCATCATTATGAACACACACATCCCCCGCAAAGAGTCATTTCTTGTGTCGTCTCCCCCGGTGGGCCCTGTGGCTGGTTGTTCCAGGGCGGCGCCTGTTGGCGGTCTTTGGGGAAGCGCTGAGTCGCTGGTTGATGCGATGAGAAGGGCTGTTCTCTGGTGGGAGGGGCTGGTGGAGGAGCGGAGCGAGAGGTCGCTGCTGCAGCTGTGGAATGTCGCTGCTGCCTCTGGCCCCGGCGATCCCTCCAGCGGGCAGGGGGGCGGGAGGAGGATTGCGGCTTCATCAGGTGGCACACAATTTCCAACACCTCATCTGACTTCTTCGACTTGTCAAGCATGGCCTTGAAATTGGCCCCAAACAGCACGTCCGTCGTGATGGGGCCCTCCACCAGGTCCTTCTGCAGCTTCTCTGGCATGGACGGGGAGAGTCGGAGCCAGGTGGACCTCTGGGTCATCGTCATCCAGATGGCGATGTGAGACAAGCAGACCGCAGAGGAGGCACACAAGTTCAGGATGACGTCAGGTGCTTTGCAGAGCGAGCTCTTCATCTCCTCAGGCAGGTGTGTGTCCTCCAGCCTTTTGGAAATGCTGTAAGCCAGCAGGCCGACATTGTTGTTCGCTGCGGCTGTCTGGAAAGCACACTGGTGGGCTCGATTGGAGAGCGATGTCACCGTTTGGTCGTGTCTCCCTGTAAGGACAGGATGTTGGTCCAACCTGGATACTTTTGCTCCAAGTGCTTCCGCCAGGCTTGGCTCCGGGGGGGGGGGGGGGTACCGAGGGAAAATTCCACTCAGTAAAGCCCTCCACTCTGGTGATGGGAGCGAAGGTGGAGACGGGCGCCTTCAGCTTATCAGGTCCAGCTGCAGCCTCGTTCCAGGAGGACGTCACTGCTGGGAAACGAGGCCAGATGGGGTCAGGGCAGCAAGCCGGGGTGGAGGCAAACCTTCCCACTAGATCATCCGATCTGGGCGGGGGGAGGAGAGGGACGAAAAGTCCTTTTGCGTCAGCCGCCTCCTAGATTATGCCAGGCAGCTCCGAGAGGAGGGCACAGACAGCTGGGAGCGGTATGTTCGCCAATGCGGAAAGCCCCCCCCCCCTTCCAACAATACGCTCTCCAGGAGGGAATGAGCAGCGGGGCTGCTGCTGACGTCGCCTTTTCTGGAGGAATCATCCGATTCGCTCCGTGACTCGGCATCAAAAAAGGCGATGGCGTCATCCAGTGAACAGTCCCCTGTTATGGAAAGGCACTCCTCGATGTTAGCCTTGAACAAGGCTGCTCGTCTCTGCATCTCCTTGGGAGGGAGGAGGTCACAGGGACAGCAGGAGGAGGAGAGGTCGGCGTGGCGAGGACCCAGGCATCCTTCACAGATGTCGTGCTGGTCAAAACTCAAAATGTAGCCTGTCTGGCAGGATGGGCACAGGTGGATGGTGCTGGACATCGTATTCTTGTTAAAGCAGTGCTGGTTGCTTGCTGAAGAAAAAATGGGAGCCGATTACCTGGTCTCACCGTAATTTATACGGACCGGGGTGAGGCCCACACAGCAAGTGGGCGTGGACTAAAGTTTTCAGTGCTGCGCGCGAAGGAATAAACCCACTAGCGATAGCCTTAAAGGGCGAAGCCTATACGAAATAGAACTAGGTGATACTGATTTGCAACAACAGCCGTGTCATAGTCTTGCAGACTCTATGATCCTATTTATAGTACAAGTCAAACAAAGGTTTTACACAGTATAGTTCTTATAACTTAATATACACTGAACTCACGTGGGGAAGTCTGGGTGACCTGGAAATTCTGCTGAGACCCTGGAATAAAGATTACAAAAAAGGTATCTCATATATATATGTTTAAAAAAGAACACATAATTAAAAATATGGCTGCTGGAAAATCAATTATTGGAATTCATTTTTGCTGCTGCAGCATGGTGGCAGATGGTACAGCTGTCACCTCTCAGCGAGAAAGTTGCCAGCTGGGGGACTTTCTGGGTGGAGTTTGAATGTTCTCTCCGTGCATGCATGATTTTCTCCAGGTACTCCAGTTTCCTCCCACAGACCAAAAACATGCATGTTAGGCTGATTGGTAACTCTAAATTGTCCCTAGGTGAGAGTGAGAGAGTGAATGGTTGTTTGTCTCTTTTGTCTCTATGTGTCCCTGTGATGAACTGGAGACCTGTCCAGGGTGTCCCCCGCCTCTCACACAGTGACTGCTGGATATGGGCACCAGTGACCCACGTGACCCAAAAAGGAAGAACTGGGTAAAGATAATGGATGGATGGACTTTTGCTGCTTGATTAAATATGAAATCTGGGATTTCCTGTTTGTTAATTAAGGTGCCTTCAATCAATGAATGGAAGCAGCCAGAGCCAAACAAACTACTTCTGGATGTTAGCTTACAAAAAACCTCAATACTATGACCTCAGGAAATTGCAACAACAAATGGAAATGGGTCATACATATCTCTTATAAAGGTATAACACTTTTATTACATAAGCCGAATCACTCACTTCATATTTTTCAAACTTCTAATTGCACAGGAATCTCTGCCAAAATTAGTTCTGCTGCTGTGTGGAGGAATTATTATAGCACATTAACCAACTGGGTGGGCAATCAATTTGTGGAAGGTGTGAAGCCTTCCCTTGTGTGTGAAAAATGTGTTTCTAACAACATGGCTTAATGTGACAGTGCACACTGCAGAGTGCTGCTCTAGTGCCAGACAGGCTCATTGATGCAGGAAAGCATTAACATTAATCCTTTACTGAAGTAAAATACAAAGTTAAAAAAGAAGGAAAAAAATCAGCAATGAAAGGAAATTAAACATTGCACCACTTTAGTTGGGGGGTGGGGTGGGGGCTGCTGTAAAAGCCACAGGGAACAAATCTTGGAGGCTGTTAAGACAAGGACAAATATCCCTTATAAGGAAAACTAACCCTGAAGCAACATGGAAATATTATCTAACATGGGATATTGGTGCCAAATAACATGGCATGAATGGCATTAACAATTAAGTCTACCATATGGAAAAGTGGGTTTGCATGCCATTTAGTGCATGCACATGAAATATGTTGCTCCAAAGCATACCTTTTTACAAAGTATGCACATACCACCATTTGAGTGTATTTTAATAAAGCCTCTATTAGCAAATCTTAATGTGTATATGCGTCCAAAAAAGTTAAGGCAGGTCCTCTGGAGGATTTTGTTTGTTGTTGAAACATTTCGTCTTTCATCCAAAGGACTTCATCAGTCCGAGGAGCCACAACAAACTCAGTCCTACAAGCAGCACACTCACATAGTGGACCAACCAGTTTGATAGTGATAAGATGGTTTCTGCAGTCTGCCCTCTCCCCCGTCGACTCCTCTGAGGCGGCCATGGCCAAAGTGGTTCAAAACATCAACGTTCATGCTCAGTAATCCAGGTAAAAATCTAGCAAAGTTCCATCAGGTCATTCAATTCCATTCAATTCAGTTTATTTATATAGCGCCAAATCACAACAAAGTTGTCTCAGGGCACTTTACAGGAACATTCACATACATAAAAGTCAATTAGTAAAGTTCTCTATCTAAGGAATCCAGCAGACAAGTTGAATCTTGGCTTTGTTGCAGTCTCCCATCGTCATGGTAAATGGACTGTACTTATATAGCGCCTTTCTATCTTATCGATAGTGAAAGTGATTTACAACACAATCTGTGCCCTCATTTACCTCCAACACACACATTCATACAGCACTCTACTAGATCTCTACAAAGCTAATCTGAATCTGTAGAGATTAATCAGTGCTTTGTCACATTCATAGGACACACATTGGAGGCAATGAGGGGTTCAGTGTCTTGCCCGGGGACACTTCAGCATGTGACTGCTGGTGGCATCGAACCCCCAACTCTCGCATTGGAGGTCAACTGCTCTAACCACTCAGCCACAGCTGCCCAGGTCATCTGGATTGTTTCTTTTTTTTTGTTGAAACGTTTCGCCCTTCATCCAAAGGACTTAATCAGTCCGAGGAGCCACAACAAACTCAGTCCCACAAGCAGAACACTCACATAGTAGGCCAACCAGTTTGATGGAGATTAGATGGTTTCTAGAGTCTGCCCTCTCCACTGATAAAGTCCTTTGGATGAATGAGGAAATGTTTAAAAAAAAAAAAAAAAGGAACCGTCTAGAGGATCTGACTTAACTTTGTTGAATTTTTTACCTGGATTATTGAGCATGAACTTTGATGTTTTGAACCACTTTGGCCATGGCCGCCTCAGAGGAGTCGACAGGGGAGATGGCAAACTCCAGAAACCATCTTATCACCATTAAACTGGTTGGCCCACTACGTGAGTGTGCTGCTTGTGGGACTGAGTTTGTTGTGGCTCCTCGGACTGATGAAGTCCTTTGGATGAAGGACAAAACATTTCAACAAAAAAAAGAAGAAACCATCCAGATGACCTGATTTAACTTTGTTGGATTTTTTTTTACCTGGATTATTGAGTATGAACATTGATGTGTATATGAGTGCTTGTCTTATGTTCAGATTTAAAATGATTGGCTCTGTCAAAAGTCATATCAAGTACAATAGTTTACCCAACTACAGTAGGAAGGCTCATTGAGCTACTGCGACAAATAAACTGTTTTAGTGACAATATTTTAGTCTGGAAGGACAATAACCTAAGAAATTAATGACAATTTTTTCATCTCTCCTTCAGTCCTGTCAAGATTGTAATGTTTATCCTATCTGGAGTTTAAAGATTGAGGTCATGCCTCTAATAGTAGTTTTCCCCATTGCTTTATTTTAATTTTATTTGTTTTTAAATCCCCATCTTTATTACTTTGTCTAGTCTGATTTACTTTATGTGTGTGTGTTTTTCCCCTACACCCCATGAGCACTGCTCCTTAGAGATTCCTGTGGTGTCATGTCCATAAATGCAGAAGAAAAACTTTGAATCGTTGCTGGATTGCCGGTGGTTAAAAGACGTTCTTATTCGGCACAGAGTACTTAACGATTAAGTCCAAAACACATCTTCCATAAGACGCAACATTCCCGTGTCTTAGATTTATTATTTTGTTTTACTGTTTAAGCTGTTAATGACATTAAAAGTGATTCACAGCTAACAAACAACTTGAAAAAATATAATACTAAAATAGGAATTACCAGTAAGAGTGGGGAATTTCAAATACAGGTTTCACCTATATCTGTAATTGATGCTATATCATTGTCAAAAGAGTGGTACCATTTCAAAACCAATTTTAGCTACTGAACAGAAATAGTACTAGTTTAAAGCTCAGAATTTAACTTTTTGAATCTGTGGTTACTGTTGGAAGTTGCATTGGATATTTGACTTAAAAAAAAGTCGACAATACTGAAAAATAAGAAATATAATGCTCCAGACTTGACAAAAATCTCCCATTTGTTCTAAAACTTATAAAATCCAAAGCCTCCCTCTTTGAATGTCTCCAACCTTACTAGGCATTTCCACAATCTGTTTCTGACCACAAGGATTTGGATACTCATGCAACTGTGAGTGTTTTGTGAGCTTTTGAGGCCTGGTAACCACATAACTAATCATTCTTTCATCCTGTCAGGGGGATCGCGATGCTCCGGCTACGTGCCTGATTAGAAACCCTTAGCAGATGGTGTGAATGAAGACTAGTGCTCTTGATCCGCCCAGAGAATGCTGTGTGAATCAAAGTTTAGCATTGGAAACAGCAGCTCTAATACGTGGCAGTTTTACACAAATAATAATCTGTGGTAACGATAATCCGAGGAGAGTAAACTTGTTTTATTAATTAGGTTACTGCTACACATAGAAACATCTTGTAATGTGCCGTTTGTCTTGGAGTTGTTATTATGAAGTCAAACTAAGAACAAACCATTCTGCTCTGAAGCCCACATTCATGAATCTGTTTCATGTATCTGCCTGAGATGTCCACTAATTAGTACAACCGTCACAGTTGATTGTCCTTCTTGGTAAAACTAAATCAGTGAAAATGCAAAAATTAAAACTAATGAGCAAGAAACCTTCAAACAACGAGGAAGACTAGCAGGGATGAAGAGGAATTCTTGATCCAACAACACAACGCTAACAAAAAAAAGTTTTGCCAAAGTATTTAGAGAGTGTTGTCGCTTTTGTCAGTCACACACGACAGACATCGCAACATTAATTAGTGTTGAGTGTGTGGTTAAAAGTATGCTGTAAAAATCTGCAACTAAACTTCGTCTGGCTTTTTTTGGTAACAGACTAATTATTTTTGTTTTAGCAGGTGGTTTCTTCACACATGACTTGCTTTATTATTTGACCACATGAACTCTTCAATAAATAATTTGGATAAACTTTACGTGTCTCTTTGTTTTGACTAACAAAGTTAAGTCAGGTCCTCGGGACAGTTTCTTTGAAACGTTTCGTCTTTCATCCAAAAGACTTCATCAGTCCGAGGAGCAGCAACAAATAGCATCTTCTCATAGTGAGTCAAACAGTTTGATGGTGCTCAGGTGGTTTCTGTAGTCAGTCCTCTCCCACGCCGACTCGTTTGAGGCAATTAATGCCAAAGTGGTTCAAAATACCCTTCATGCTCAGTAAAGTAGAAAAAACTAACACAGTTAAGTCAGGTCCTCTGGATGGTTTCTTTTAGTGGAAACATTTCATCTTTCATCCAAAAGGCTTGATCATGAAGTTTACTTCATGAACCACTTTGGCCATGACTGCCTCAAACGAGTTGGTGGGGGAGAGGGCGGACACCAGAAACCATCTGAGCACCATCAAACTGGTTGACCCACTATGAGAAGGTGCTATTTCTAAGTCAGAGTCAGACTGAGACAGTTTGTTGCAGCTCCTCAGATTGATGAAGTTTTTTGGATGAAAGATGAAATGTTTTAACAAAAAGAAACAGTCCAGAGGACCTGACTTCCATCCATCCATCCATCCATTTTCTTTACCCGCTTATTCCATTTTTGGGTCACGGGGGTCGCTGGTGCCCATGTCCAGCAATCACTGTGCGAGGGGCGGGGTACACCCTGGACGGGTCGCAAGTCCATCCCAGGGCCACATAGAGACAAACGAGACAAACAAACATTCACTCTCTCACTCACACCTAGGGACAATTTAGAGTTACCAATCAGCCAAACATGCATGTTTTTGGACTGTGGGAGGAAACCGGAGTACCCGGAGAAAACCCACGCATGCACGGAGAGAACATGCAAACTCCACCCAGAAAGGCCCCTGGACCGGGGTTTGAACCAAGGACCTGCTCGCTGAGAGGCAGCAGCTCTACCAGTTGCGCCACCGTGCTGCCAGGACCTGACCTAAATATAAAGATGCATAACAATAAAAATAAAATTTCAATAATTTAAGTAAAACATTCAAAGGTAATTCATCATTCAGTCCTTTAGAAGCTAAAACCTGAAGAGGACAGATCTAATAAGCCTCACGTTGTCTAAGCAACTTCTCATGGTCACCCCACTAAAGTAGTAAGATAAAAAAGTTCAATACCAAAACTTTTGTTAATAAATATTATGGTTAATTCAAAAAAGTTAAAGACAAAAACAATATTTAAAAAATTATTTTAAAAAAAGTATTATGGTTAGAATCATTTAAATGGATTGCAACAGGATAGTGCGTAGACCAGCCTGTCTCAGCCTCCTGAGGGAATAAAGGGGTTAGTGGTTCTGTTTTATTATGTTGGAGGTTTTAATGAATTAAGGACTTTTAATGAAATATGGACTCCTAAATATTTGAAGCTGTGGAGTTTTTTGGCAGCTGCTCCTATAATAAATAGAGTAGGAGTTGTGTGGCTTGTCCTTCTGAAATTCACAACCAGCTTCTTAATCTTCTTCATGTTAATGCAGAGGTTATACTCCTCACACCAGATCGTCCACATCCTGCTGGTCCAAAGACTCATCATTGTGGGACATCAGTCCATTACTGCCATCATCCACAGACTTCATATGACAGTTCGCCCATTTGTTTGGTTGACAATTTTATGTGAATAGTGATTATAGCAGGGGGCCCATGACACACCCCTGGGGAGAGCTGGTGTTTATGGTAATGTGGGAAAACAAGATTTCATGGAATGTGACAAACTAAATGGTGTGCCAAAAAGTCCAGGACCATGTTACAGAGAAATTATGTCAATCCAAGTAGCAGTAATTTGTTGGCCAGGATCTGGGGGCTTATTGTACAGAAGGTAACGCTAACGTCCAGGAAGTGGAAGTGAATCCTGATGTAAGCATTGTGTCTCAAAAAGGATAAGAGCTGAGTGTATGACTGATTATGCAGCGCCGATGTGCAGCGGCTCTTTCTGTAGGTACACTGGTATACTAGGAAAAGTTATATACAATACAAATAAGGAAAATAATCTGATACAACAACTCAGGCTTTCTATGTGTTTTGCGAGTGTGCATTCAGTACCTCATCCTGGCTGCCTTTCCGTAGGTTATAGGTGAGGTTGTTGTGGATGTCGGTGGCAAACACGAGGGCATACTCAGGATAGAGTTCCAGCACCTCTCTCAGGCCGCGCAGACTGATGTACTGCAGATCACAGTAGGTGAGCGCTTTCACATCAGCGTTGGTCTTGATCACCTGGTCAGTTCCAGGCAGATCAGTCCCGATTAAGTCCCCTTTCCCTAAAATCGAAATATTATTTATCATTTTCTTACACAGCTTCATGGCTTAAAAACATTTTATGAACTATGCTTAAAACGCTTAATATGATACATACCTAAAATAGCCAGCACCATACAGTCTTTCAGCACTTCTAGGGAACCGGAGCAGACAAAGTAATTGGCATGCAGTGCATCACCCTGACGGATCAGGTACTCCCCAGGTACGCAGAAAGAGGTTTTAATATGAAGAGAGAGTGAGCGCAGGCAGCCACGACTGGCCCCATTAAAGACTGGCAGCTGAAGGATGTCCTTATTCAGGTGCATACCGATGTCGGCCCGTAGCTCATCAGGAAAGTCGTGGAGGAGCTGGGGATATTTGAAACATGTAATGATGTGTGGCACTGCTAGATTAGTGTGTGGACAGGGCTGCAGATGCTCTCTTTTTTAAAGGATATGAACTGATAAAGTATTGCAGCCATGCTGGGCTAAATTATAAACAAATGATGATCTAAGAGTCTGGGAATATAATATACATATTTTATAGATAATTTTAGGACATTGGTAAATGTCAATTTCAGATATGCTAGCTTCATTTATAAGTATTCCACGATGACAAAAATTAAAGTGACTTCTACCTCATTGGCATCTATACCATTGTTGACAGACCACGTGGTTTGAAAGTACTCCAGCATGCGTTGTTTAAGCTGCTGGGGCAGACGGTGAACACGGATAAAGTCCTTCAGGTCTGACATACGAGTGTGGTAGAGAGAACGACGGGAGTACATACGCTGAATGATGGCTGTCACATTCCCAAAGACGACAGCGTGCATCATTGCTGTGACGGGAAGGAAAAGAGTATAAGAGTCAGCTATGATATACAACGTTAATGGTTAAACTCAGGATGTAGCAACGTTAGAGACAGATGTTAGACAAACATCTCTAAGAGCCTGAGTCTGATCTTTATGCTAATTAAAAATGGAGCTGAGATTACAAAAACAAACAGTTTAATAACTTTCTGAATGAAAAATCCTGCTAAATCCTTCACAACCAAAACTGTAAATTGTCAAAAAGAAAAGACGACAATCAAAAGAAGACTTACACTTTCTTGTAATAGCCACATGCAAATGAATAGGTATTTAAACGAGTCACAAAAAATCTAAATCATATCAAAATAAAAGCCCACATCCATTCCACCTGCCTACTGTATCCATGACAATTATGATTCCAATACAGGAGCAAAATTACAATAAAAAACACTTCAACACATTGATAAACTATTATGGATTCTAATATGAAATGTACATCAACTAAATTGTTACTCCTATAAATGAAATTAAACAATCAAATGTGTTCACATAATCATTATCACAAGCAGCAAAATAAAACTTTAATAACCATGTGCAGGGTTGTTACACTCCTAATTGCAACCTCGGCAGATATCATCAATAACTAGGAGATGGTTATGGCAGCAAGCTGTGTCTTAGAAGCCAGCCAAACTATTCAACCACAAGTCGTGTAGAGTTTTGTGGACTGCGGTGCCAAACAGTAACAGAGTGATGCCAGGATGCCAGAGGGAGAATGACAACCCGGTGTCAAACGTACCACCAACCAGCATGATGCAGATGGAAAAGATCTTCTCTCCATCAGTGTTGGCACTGACATTTCCAAAGCCCACACTGGTCAGGCTGCTGAGGGTGAAGTACAGGGCAGCAATGTAAGAGCTGCGTAGTGTCGGGCCGCCCACTGTGCTGTTAATGTATGGAGTGTCCTGACGTCTGCCGAGCTCATGAAGCCACCCTTAAAGGCACATACAGCACACATGTTATCTTCATGTTCATCAGTGCCTTGAAGGATGACAGTGACAGGATGGTACCGCTATATCTTATTTAAAAGAAGCAAAACTACTTGTCAGCTCATGTGTGTGTGAGTATTTGTTAGAAAGCGACTGTCAGTAGGGTGGCATTTTGTTTCAGGACAACTCACAACTAGCCTCTTGGGTAAAAATACACATCTAATAAGAAAGTATAACATCTCCTCCTAATATTAATTAAATAAAATAGACTAGTGTAACACATTTAGAAGCACTTGAACATTTTTGCACAGTTTTTATAAACAAATTATTACATTAATTAAGAAACAGAAACTAAAGCTTACAAGCCTCTGATAAGTTTATATTGAACTGCGTTCAGCCAGTAACACAAAGAAGATGTGTGTGCTGCATGCTACCAGCCTATTTCAGCTTTTGATCTGGTTTCAGACCGTTCTCATTAGAGCAGCAGAGGATGCTGTTTGTGCCGCCACTGAGCAGAGCTAGACACCCAGTAGGTAAGCTGAAACTATTTATAGCTGAGTAACAAAACACAAATATAAGCTGTAATATTTGTTGGAGTTTCAGGAATAAATAACTCTCTGTTATAACTAAACCTGGTTTGTGTTTAAGAAGAGAAAAGAGAAAATCAGCAACTGTTGTTTTTTTTCTACAAGCAGACTCACCTACTTTCCATTTGATACTGGTCTCTAACTCTTGGTGTCCGATAAGGTACCAGATGCAGGCCATCCAGTGTGCCACCAGGGCAAACGTGCACATCAGTAAGGTCAGCACTATGGCACTGTGCTGAGAGTAACGGTCAAGCTTGTGAAGAAGTCGAATAAAACGCAGGAGGCGTACCGTCTTAAGCAAGTGGACCATGGAGGTCTGAGCAGAGGAGGGCAGAGTGACAAAAACGAGACTTAGTCCCTCAGTCATATGTACGCAGTTTGTGCTGTATGAATCTGACTGTACTATTTTGTTCAACCAAAATCCATACTTCAATATATCAAACGTGCAAACACACAAACGAAACATGGGCTGAGAAATGCCAAGCGCTTGATTTCCAGACCCTTAAATTTACCATAAAGTGAGAATTTAATACATCATGTCAAACGTTTACTGGTCTTTTCTAAAGTAAAACCAAGCAAAGCAGTTAAACTTTTTATTGTAACACTTACCACAGTGATATTGAAGACATACAGTAGGTCAAAGGGCAAAGCAGCCACCAAGTCCACGAAGAACCAAGTGGTGACGTAGTGAATGCAAATGGAGCGCGACTCGTACACCACCTGACCGGACTTGCTCACATAGGTGGTACAGAAGTTCAGGATAATGTCTGCAATTACAAAGCCATTTTAATATGATGAATATAATATAATATAATTATAATATGAATATATTTTGATGAAATATTGGTGTGTACTATGATAGAATTTATAAGGCTGCTGAAATTCATTTGTAGCTCCACTGGTTTTCTCATTTGTGATGAGTACTTTAGACCATACCATTAAACCAATAAACGCAGATTTAAAAACATCTGAAAGGAGACAATCGTTGCAAAGGCAGAAATGATGATAGCAGAAGCTTAAAAAGATGCACATGCAGCTAATTCATAATGATCAGAGTGTGTGCTGGACAGATTTATGACCTAAATGTCTAAATGTGACAAGCAAATAACAAACCGTCTCCTGTGTGTGGGGTTTGATTTTGTAAAAAAATTATATTTCATCACAGCTGTCAATATGTGAAGATATGAAAGGTTTATTGATCGATACAAATTCAATATAAGGTAAGTTCAACAAGGTGTAAGACGTCAGAAATCCCTGCAGCACAATGAAGGCGTAGAGAAGAAATCTCATTGCTGCTTTAAAAGAAAAAAAATTTAAATTTCCAATAAACAGTTTGTTACACTCACCTATAATAAACAGCACTTCTACTAGGATGTCACTCACGATGGTGGCGCGTTCAGCTGTGACAGAGTCATCGTACGGCCAGAAGCTAACGTTGTAGGGCACAGTGACAGCAACGTAGAAGGTTGCCAGCAGGATGAGCCAGTCCCACAGGGTCTTTGATATACTGTAGTGGAGCAGAATGAAGCGTGACGTCTGCACTTCTGCCATCTTGTATTCTGGTACCGTAGGCTTGTCATTCATGCTCTGTAAGCCAACAGGGGGATTTAGCTGAACGAAGGCATTACCACACAATGCAGACAGGAGCGTCAATAAACTAAAGTCATATAATCCTAATAGTTTTTTAACCATTGATTTATTTTACAATAGATCTGTATAATGTACCACAGCTAAACATCATCAAGAAAATGATAAAGGGTGATGTTATAGAGCACCTACAGTAAGTCTGCTAATTCCCATCGTAAAGACAAAACAAATCTTAATAATATATTCATATTTCTGTAAACTATTCTCTTGAATATATTTCTAAACTCAGATTAATTTAACACTCTGTTAAACTAATAATGTATCTATCACCTGCAGCCAAAGGCAATAGTAACTTTTGCAGAAGCATATGTGTATCAGGTTGTTAGCAAAATATCACACGAACCACTGAACATTAAATAATGAAACTTTCAGCAAATCTTTACTGGTTAACTTTAGGATTCAATAATATGCAAGATGGCTGCAAGAGCTAATTGACTTTAACTACCACAAAAATGGTTAATTTCAAAGTCTGTCAACTGTACATTTATTCATCTAAAATTTGGTGAGGTAGTAGCAGAGAGTCATCTTGTTCCCATATGGGTGTGACAAAACTATGCAAATTTGAATGATATAACATTATTCATAAGGTTTGATTAAAACTGCTACACCTCCTTTATTTCTCAACAGGAGATACATCTCTGGCATGAAAGACAGCGGGCGATATGCATTCCTCCAGGAATGCTAGACCTTTAATTTATCAATGATAAGATAATGTTTGGACTTCAAAAACTTCTAATCCTGGGTTTTGTTTCATTGTCTTAAAAATGTCAGCTTGTCACCTTTGATTAGGTAAATCATCATGAGAAAAGTAAGAGGTCATCCTCTAAGACGCTACAAATTAATTACAACATTTAAAAGTAGAGGGGGAAAAAAAGAAAAAATAATTTATTATAATGTTTGCTCAATGTTTAGGAACACATTATTATTGCTCAGCTTAAGGCTAAAGCAGCATGAAGCAAACATTGGCCTTAAACCAAACACCAAACACAAATTTTACAAACAAAATAAATTTTAATACAATTACAATAAGAGGAGTCCATACAATAATTGCAACACTAAATATTTGAAGTCTTCGTGGTGAATAATCCCTGAAATGTCATTGTCATTAGGGAGCTGAGTGAGATGTACCTGTACGGGTAACTGCCTTTTGAGGTTGCCAGATAAGAAATCACAATAGTATTTTTTTCATTCAACCTTTATTTATACAGATGAGGTACAGACAACAATAGACAATCATATAAACACATATAAAATGAAGTAAATAAAAGAAATGATATAAAAATGAAACAAAAACAAGTGACATAAAGCTATGTAAAATACTAAAAACAGGAACATGCCTGCATTGGTTTTTGCAGTGCAGTAGTTTAAAATCCCTTAGAGTGGTCCGAGTCAGCAACTTCAGATCTTTTTGCAAGGTGTTCTTACAGGAGCAGAGTAAGAGATCTAAAGTAGCCTTTTTGTTTGATGTTCAAATTTTGCTACTGTTAATTTAATTCAATTAAAAAAAAGGTAGTTGAAGACCACGAAGTGGGAAACGTGTCAGGAGACAGAAGGAGAAAAGGAAAGTCAATAATTCGTCTGCTTCCTTCCTCAGGGGTCGCCACAGTGAACTAACTCACATGAAGACTTGGCATTTGTTTGTACGCTGGATGCCCTTCCTGACACAACCACTGACCACTAAGCTACCATATCCCTCTGTGTGGAGCAGAGAGCTGCCATCTAGGGCATCCAGGGAAGCAGATGATGGGGATTAAGGGCCTTGCTCAAGGGCTCAGAATGGGGCAAACGAGGGTGGAGGCAGGTGTGGGTCTGAAGGACAATCCAGAGACACTGACAAGACACCAAGGAGCTGAATAACGATAGACACTGATTAGGGTGAAATGACAGGCACCTGTGATGAGTATGTTGCTCACAGGTGAGACAGAGCTGGAACACAGGGAGGAGGAACACTGAGGGGTGACTGGGAAATACGAGGAAACATATAAGACCAGACCCCAGAAACCCTACATAACCTCCAGCTAAATGTATATTTTTTTATATAAAACTAGAACGCTAAATCATTTTGGAAATAGAAACCAGGTGGACTTTAAACTTGATTTAATATCTAGGGGAAGTGCATTTTCTCCTTTAATGCAGTGAATATTGAGTATTAAATGCCTCTGCTGAATTTTGCTGAAGAAGCTAAAATTGAGTTGCTAAAACTAACATAAAACATTATCAAACTATAGAAAACACTAGCTAAAAATGAAGGTAGCAAACAGCTTGCTCAAAGCTAAATATAGCAGAACAGTAGCTAGCTGTACTCCCCTGTTTTCTCCTTTTTAATGGACAATAGTGACTATATATGAACAAATATTATAATACTGTATATATGTGTACAACTTGTATACTTTTTTCTATGTATGTACATTTTACATGTATGTAGACACTTTTTTTCTCTGTATATGTATATAAATATATGCATTATTTTGCATATAGCTTGTGAATTTTTTAGTCCTTGTATTTGAGCTTTTCTTAAATCCTTAAAGTAGCAAAAGGCTGGCTAAAAGCTAAAAGTAGCAAAAGGCTAGCTAAAAGCTACAAGTACCTAAAAGCTAACATAATGGTAGCTAAAAGTAAATGTAGCAAAAGAAGACAAAAAAAGCAAGCATGCTAAAGCAGATTTCAAAGAGACCAACGTTTTATAAGGAATTGAAAAATGTATTTCTATGAAAACAGTTGTAAATAAAGGTAAATAATTTGAAAAGTATAAAAGTTTAAAAAGAAAAAAGCCATTGCACCTGCATGTATCTCCTGAAACAGTTGAACTAAAACAGCACAAAATACGTATAAGTAGTAAGATCTTTTAAACAGCAAAATATGTACAAAAAATAAATAAATGAGTGTGAACGCTAAATTAGCACAACCACACAATTATATAAAACACACAGAACGCACTTGCCAAGCATTTTAAACAAATAACTTGATGGTGATGAGGTGGAGTGTTTTGACAATAAATGGCAACTAGATGGACATCGCAGAACCAAGATGTTGCCGAAAGACTAAATAAATGTTGGTGTCCTCTTGTTCGCTGGCCGCTGATTTTTCACTACGTAGCAGCATCTCATGTCAAAAAGATGTGGTAATGCTGCTGCTAATCTCTTCCTGACAGTCACCCAGACAGTGTGAAGGCTTTTAAATGTCTGCAGAAATAAAATAAAGCTACAAAAGAGAACTAGTCAATGATGAGGAAACGTATTACCAATGAAGGTGCTCGATGATTTTCTACATGACTGAACTTCATGTAAATGTCATTAGTGTTTTAAGTCTCAAGCGGCGCAGTGTGGTTCAGTGATGCGTATTAGTGTGAAACAAGGGGGAATTCAATAGATGCCAATAATGCTACACTTTTATTGAGAAAATCTAGTTGTGAAAAGCATCAAAAATGGGAAGCAGAGTCTATTCATTGCTGCTTTTTAAATAGGCTCGTGCATTTTCCATTTAAAAGCCTAAACTGCCCTGATCCTGGGGTTATGTGTGGGGTGAGATGAAAAATGGAAAAGGGAGATAAATAAGTGGTGAAAAAATGGAGCCAGCTATCTTGTGAGGAGCTCAGTAACAAGATATCTGCTGTTGAAGTCTCAACTTGATATTGACCTGTAGCTGCTGGGCTAACATGGTGAAAACTACTTAATTCACATTTGCTATAGTACTTGCGTAAAAAAAAAAAAAAAAAAAAAAGGAAAGAATTGATGCTCCACTGGTTAAATGTAGAAAAGGAAATTTTAATTTCCCTTCAAGTTTTTGAAACTGCACATGACTGATGACAATGTACAGTTTGCTCAAGAAGACTATGCATTAGAGTAAAATGTAGTTGTAAAAATAGGCACTTTTATGAAAGTTCAAGCCCTGTCAGAAAAGGCTAGACTGTTCCCTTTAATTTCTTACATCACAGAAACCCTCCTGACCTTTGACACCGACCATGTTCAGCTCAGCACACTGAAATAATTAGAAATGAAATGCTGTCCTTGCGGAGGGGAGCATGTGCCAGTTTATGTCACACAGCTACAGTTGATCTTCAACAGTCATTAACTCAAGCTGCATCCCAAAAGCCTATTGCTTTAACTACACCTCCCAGCGTGCTTTGGGCTTCACTTCTGATTAATCCTAGAGAAGTGGTTGCAACATTCAGAGGACTCGAGAGTGCAAGCAGCAGGTAAAACTCCAAAAATGGGGTTTAGTAATTAAAGCAAAACCGATAGCGTAACACACACCCCCACTCCCCAATTTAAACAAAAAAATAATAATAATAAAAGATTTAAGAAGGATTTACAATGTCCAACTAAGAAACTAAGCACAATAAAGTAGCTGGAATGATTATAGATGGACAACAGGTGTGTGGTGAGGTAAGAGAGCGCCTGAGGAAAAACAATGATTGAAAACACGATTAAACAAAACAGAAACAAATATGGCTGAGAACAAATAAAACAGCGGCAAAAATAAATCATAAAGAACACATTGACAAATAATTTTAAATGACAAGAATCTAAGAAAGCTATGGAGATAAATCAGTCCCAAAAGTAGTCACACAAGCGTACAATGAGATTTGTATGTGTACAATAAGATCCACAAGCGTACCACAAGTTTTAAAATGTGCACACAAAAAAATTCTCAAATGCATAAATATTTTAAATGTACACATTTCGATTTGTACAAGTTGTCAAATACACAGGCACAAATAGCCTGCTGTGGATGAATCAGTCAATATGAGTGCACGGATCAACTTGCCTGTGAATGGGACTTTTGAGACTGTCTTAAGGCTCCATGCACAAAGGTGATGCTGCGTTCAAGGCTAGAGGAAAGCTGGGACAGCTGAGCTTTACCAAATTGACTGCTATTGGGAAAAGACACATTTTCAACTTGAAACAAAAATTCATAACTTCTATGACTGAAAGTGTTTGTAAACAAAACTAAACTAAAAATAGAGAATGAGGATTTCTGAAGAATGCTGAATAACTGCTGACATTTGCAAATAATAATAATAATAATAATAATAATTGAGTAGTTAAAGCTAGTGTTGTAGTCAAGACCACCCAAACCGAGACCAAGTCAAGACCAAGACCGCTCTTGAGTACGAAAACACTAGTTAAAGCTAAAAGGAGCAAAAGGATAGCTAAAAGCTAAATGTTGCAAAGCGCTTTTTAAAAGCTGAAAGTTGAAAAAGGATAGCTAAAAGCTAAAGGAAGACAAAGTTAGCTACAAGCTAAAAGTAACAAAATGCTAGTTAATGGCGTCAAAAGTGTAGCTACAAACTAAAAGTAGCAGAATATGAATGAATGAATAAAATGACAGTTAAAAAGCTAAAAGTAGCACAATGGTAGCTGAGGGCTAAAAGAAGGAAAAGGCTAGCTAAGAGCTAAGCGTAGTATAGAAATACAAATATAGAGCAAGAATGCTGAAGCAATTTTAACTAACTGTTTGGGGAGAAACTGAAGAGAACACAATGAATTTCTATGGGAAAATATTTGTAAATACAGTTAACTATTTCCAAAAGTCTAAGCTGAACATTTTGATGAGCTAAAATATGACAATAGCATGCAGAAGCAAAAAAATAGGAATAAAAAAAGACAAACAGCATTCATGTAATAAACAGAAGAGCACCCATAATGTAAGGACTTGAGTTATATGCACTAAATGTTACTTTTACATATCTAAAGCCAACATTTCTTTTTTTTTTTTTAGTTTTTGCATCACAGCTTGAAATGTCTGAACGCAGCAGTTTCTCCATTTAGGCGAAAACGAAGTAATGGTAGCTCTCTTCTGGGAAATAAGAAATCAAGTTGCTCGTCAGCGTGCCTCGGATTGGATACAGCAGCTGACAGCATCAAAAACTGACATAACTTCTCAGTAAATGTGCTGTAATAAGCAAGCTTCAGAGAAATAAAATATTAATAATGGATATGTTTTGTGAAGGCTCTGTGGGTCTCAATTCCACATCAGAACTGAAAATCAGACCATTCCATTTTTATTTGTACTTTTGTATCACAGATGACGCAATCTTTAAGGAAGCCCTTCTGTGTGTCTATTTATCTTGTCTCAGTCGAAAATGTATGTCTTCCAGTAAAAATAACTCTCTCTTGTTCCTTTTGGCCTCACAAAGCAATGAGCTGCAAATAAAGATCCAGTCAGAATAGATATGACTGGGTGGGTGTGGAGGCAAAGTAGATTGTGAGCTCACCGTTTCTGAGACTCAGACAATGAGGAGAGCAAAAAAAAAAAAAAAAAAGGAAAATTAAAACACTGGCAAAAATACACCAATAACACCAGAGTCCTCATGGAAGAATAATGATAACAGAAAAATAATACTGTTTTCAAATTTTAGATATAGGCTTTTAATGCTTTAAAAGTGCAATAAATATGCATCCCTGCTATTTATGTTGCTGTATTTATGAGTATACTGTATATGAGTGTGTGTGTGTGTGTGGGGGGGGGGGGGGGGGGGACAAAAAGTGCAGAAGAAAGAGAAAAAGGCAATATCAGCAGGGAAAGATGGTGCTGACAGAGAATATAAACTGAACTTGATGTTTTCTTGAACATCAAACTCTTTGAAAGTGGTGGTTATGCACGGCTCTTTTATTTCTTGTTCTGTGGAGAAAGGTTTAAATGGGAGCAGCAGGAAGCAGACAGATTCAGAGCAAAGAGACCGTTTATGACACCATAAATACACTTTATGAAGAGCAAAGAATCAATGTTATTCATTTGTGTAAACTCCTCATAGCATGTCTCGTTAAAAGGAATACATTCAAACCATCATAACGTGGTAATTGATAAAACTTGTGTCTTTTTTTTTTCATATTTTTCTTGGCTTTGGAAAAATTTGCCCCAATTAGCAATCACATATAAAGTTAAAAGCCAAGAACTGCCATTCGTTCGCTGCCTTTTATGATGATGATGGCCTCATATTGAGAAATGATGGAGTTTAAGCCCAAATTTGACAATATTATTACACACAGCGCTACGTGACATTGCAAGATCTTGTCCGGAATGGCTCTCAGCTACTACCAATGGTGGGGAAAGTTATGTAAAGGTCATGGATGTTTTCGCTTACTAATAACCTGTATAGAACCATGCATGTGAAGTCACGAGAGCCTCTCTGTCTACTCAGAGAGGAGTCTGATAACCGATAAACTCTGACGCCTTCAACAACAGCTGTGAAGCAGAGGTCGTGTCTTGACCTTGTCTCTGTGTGATAACGGGTATTTAAGCTTTTGCTAACTCTTTGGCCACGTACAGACCTTGTGATCAGGGCTTCGTATACCATCTTGTATGCTTGTTTTCAATGCTGTACCTCCTTGCAAGGAGTAAATTGTGTTGAAAAGATATTTTTGCATTCTGTGTGGCTTATTTAACTAACGAGTTGATGATAGTATAATTAAATTATCCAACAACGTTAAATTTTAGTTCAATATCTGTAGATTTCTGAGTTTCATTATTCAGTGGTTCCTGAAACATTTTACTAACTAAACAAACAAATGAACGCATGAACATAAGCAAAACCACCTTTCAGTGGCAGGTAATAATGATGAACTGAAAGTTTAAACAAGTGTTTATTTCTCTTCAAATGTTTTATTATGGCAAAACTTTGATGCCATATTAAATATGTTATACTGATTATTGGTGATGTGTGTTTGTGGTTAAGTTCTACTTTCTTGACTTTGTTGTAAAGAAGATTTTTTGTTCATGTTAACAGCTGTTCTTGCTTTAATACGAGTTAAATAAATGAATGACTTTGTTCTCACTTCACCCATGTTGTCGTCTTGTTTGCCACCTCTGGAGAAATGGTTGGTCAGCTGGTACAGCACAGTGCGTCCATGTTTCCTTGCCTCACTGAAGCGAGAGCGGCTCTTCCTCCTGCATCTCTTGTCCTCTGATACCACATAATTAGAAAAAATAAAATAAAAACACTTTATAAGAACATCTGTTTATTATTAGTAAAATCCAGCTCCACTTTTAAAAATACTGTCTGAGTTCAGTGAATGAATGCCAATGAAAACAAAACTGCTGCAGAGGACGTGACAGTGATTAACAGGACTACACTGTAAAAATTTAATCTGAGTGCATGCTCATAAATCATCTAAACAATCAATTTATTATTACTTTGTACAACCCAAATTCTTAAAAGTTGGGACTTTATGTAAAATGTAAATAAAAACAGAAAGCAGTGATTTGTAAATCTCACAAACCCTTAGTTTATTCAAAATGGTGCACATAAGTTAGTTTAAACTAAGAATTGCAGCGTTTTTAGGGAATATAAGGTAAATATGAAAATGTCTGCATTTATTACAGCAGCATGGCTTTGTAGTAGATAAGTCCAGGTGCTGAACTGATCTGCCTGCAGTCCAGATCTCTCAGTTAAAAATGTGATGCATCATGAGCCATACAGTCCATAACATTGTGAATAAAATATGAGTTTTTTGAGATTCACAAAAACCCAGTTTGTTCAGAATTGGGGCTTTAAATTGGATTTAAAGTTTACCTTCCCTCTTGCTGCTGAGATGACCCCTTCCATAGGTGTCAGTGATGTCCTTGAATGAGAAAAGAAATAGAACCATCTCCCCCTTTTCATTTTTTATGGGCACAATGTCCAAGAAACACCAGAAGGCCACACCTAGAGAACAATCAGAAAATGTCATTTAGTTCAAGTACTTATATCTCTCATTAAATAAAGAAAGCAAATGATCAGTGAACAAATGCACATGTATTTACAGAAATTATCTTTTAGTAAGTGTTTACATTTTTATTTGTCGCATGTAAAATGCTTGTGCAACATGAAGACGGACACTAATAAAAGGGTTTGTTTCCCCAGTGCACAGACCACTAATCATGTTCATCATAATACTGTGTGTGTTTGTTTGTTCTTTTTAGCCATTATGGACATTTTTGTGTTGGTAGTAACTTTTTTTGAGAGAAGTTTCATTGTTTATAAGCAACATATACGGTGTACCTCATGGTTCCATTTTAGGATCACTTGTGTTTTTGCTATGCATTTGCCTTCTAGGACAGATATTATGAGATTGTATCACAAGTTCAATTGAACATCATCTCATTTATGCAGAATATTATGTGTAGGGAAATGTGTAGGAAAATGTATTTTTTTACTGTATGTAAATATCAAAAGATGTGACTGTCAGTTGGACAGTTAATTTATTATTAACTACATTAAATTCAAGAAAATGCAAAATATCTAATCATTGTCACAAATCAGGCAACAATTATAGGCTCAGCTAAGATTTGCTGTTCTTGATCAATCAATGCCTCTTCAAGCTGCTGATCTACAGCTGTATTCAAAATTACAAAAGCTTGTGTCAAAACACAAATTGGAGTTAATTATTCATGCTGTAATTTCCTCTAGTTTAAATTAATGTGATGATTTATATCATGAGAAAGGCGCTATATAAATTAGATTTCACATCAGCTGCCAATTTATATGCCAAATGAAGATTCTGTGCAACATGTTTGTGCTCAAAGTGTGTTGGGGATGACTGTCAGCTACTACCACACCAAATTTTAGCTCAATAGCTGTAAAACTGACTGCATTATAGCAGTCATCAAACTTGGTAGCTATTTCATATGGAGTTTACACCAAAAGTACATCATTTGTACTTTGTAGTTTATACATTCAACAACTGATTTGGGGAATATTATAATCTGTCTATGGTTGGTTCATGAGATATTTCACTAATAATCAGTCAAAAACACATATGGACACAGGCATGTACACATGTGCCCACCTTTGATTCCAGCAGGTGATGACAAACTTTATTTTCTTAGTAGTTTGGATATGCCTGTGATAAATTTGTGAAGCTTTAATTGGTCTCCCAAGGAAAAAAAAAATCTGTAAAATTTGCAAAAGATCTGGAAACGACCTTAAGGAGCCCATTAGGTTCCCATAAGGGCCTGAGGCACCCTACATCACCGCTCTATCCTCACCCCTGTTAGACTCATAATAATTTCACACTTCATGTCAGCTCTCCCCCATGTTTAAACCATGGATTGTTTAAAAGAGCCATTTTTACTTGCTCTAAAAAGGCAACTAATGTTGGAAATGAATCATTTTCCAGAGGATTTTGCACGAAGTGTTGGAGCGAGCCTGGGAGTTGGGTGTAACAAGTCAAAAGGGAAAAGATCACTAAAGATCCAAAGCTGGTTTGCTCGTTAGCGAATCTGCAGATAAATGGCGCTTCGCCACGTAACAGATGTTATACGTCTTCTATGGTGTCCCTGGTGTGTTTGTGTGGGTTGTGCAAAGATTGGGGAAACACAAAATATCATGGTATTTTTGCACAGGAAGCAAGTCTTTTATTTATTTATTTATTTTTTGTGGACAAGTATTTTGTGACACATTATGAACATCTACTACTCAGAACTTTATTTTTAAAATGTTTCTTACCTGTCATGGATTTTCTTATATGGCACTCTATTGCTGGGTTTGAGTCTTTTTACATCCCAATATACTGACATCACCTTTCTGTTATTTAGTGCAATGTCAAAACCACTTTGAAGTGAAAGCATTAGCTACAGCTCTGATTTAGCACAGCATTAATGGTTAGCACATTTCGAGGCCGCAGGTTTGTGTGTCTGTTTGAATGAACTTAATCCCGTGTGTCAGTCATCATGGCTTAAACACTGCTGTGTGCTCTCCTCTCAGGCATGACACATTTCAGCTCAAGACTTCTAGAAGGATTACTAAGACCGTCAGTACGAAGGAGTTAAATTCTAGACAGTACAGGCTTTGTCCTGTACATAAAAATGCTCCATCAGTTGTGGAAATGCGTGTTAGAAAACACTTGTTATTGCCGTCACTTTACCTTTAAGTTCCAGTGTTAATGGCATTATGATACCGATGAATGATTTTCCATTAGGAATTATCTGCTGAGTCTCTCTCTCTCTTTAACTGATTGTTTTATGTTGATAATCATAAATCCTGAGAAGTACTAAAGATCAAAACAATCATAAAATTATTTAGCTGCTTAAAATTCCCGTCATGATTCAGCCGTATTGGTGAGCTTTTCTAAAGAAAAAGAAAAACAATAAAATCAAACACACAAGTAAATAAATAAATGAATAAAACAGAAATGTTCGCAATAGAATTACAAGCTCATTTAAATTTTAGAAATTGTGCCTATTGACTTCTGAAGAAGTTGAGACACTGTGTGAAATGTAAATAAAAGCAGAATGCAATGAAAGAGCAAAGCTCACAAACCCATATTTTATTCACAGTGGAACATAATAAACATATCAAACATTAAGAAATTGCTGAATTTTTAGAAAAAGGGGCAATCTTGAATTTTATGGCTGAAATGCAACAAAAAGCTGTAAATGTAAATGATATAATGAACATATAGAGGAGGATACTGTAACCATCCATCCAGTATCTTTATCTGTGTCTTCCTTTCTGGATTGCAGGGATCACTGGTGCCCATATCCAGCAGTCACTGTGTGAGAGGCAGGGGACACTGGACACGTCTCCAGTCCATCACAGGGACACACAGAGACAAACAACCATTCACTCTCTCACTCACACCTAGGGATAATTTAGAGTTACCAATCAGCCTAACATGCATGCTTTTGGTCTGTGGGAGGAAACTGGAGTAACTGGAGAAAACCCACTCGTACACGGAGAAAACATGCAAACTCCACCCAGTAAGGTCTCCAGCTGGGATTTGATCTGGCGACCTTCTCACTGAGATGCAACAGCTCTACCAATTGTGCCACCGTGCCACCGATATTCTAATTAATTAGGTTAATTGGCAACAGGTCATTTGGAGGACTAGGAGCATTTCAGAGGGACTGAATCTCTCACAAGTAAAGATGGGCATAGGTTCACCAGTCTGCAAAAAGCTGAAGAATTAAAAAATGGCACATTTTCAGGCAAATGTTTCCCAACAATAAATTGTGTGGACTTTTAATTCCTTATAATCTACAGTTCATAATATAAAAAAGTCAAGAAACTGGGAAAGCCTCTGTGTGCAAAGCACAAGGCAAAAGGTCAATGCTGGATAGTCGTGATCTTCAGTCCCTAAGGGGGCGCGGTATTTAAAGCTGATTCTGTTCTGAACATCACTGATGGGCTCAGGAACACTTTTAGAAATGAACACAGTTTACTGTGCCATGCACAAATGCTGGTTAAAGCTCCATTGTGCACAGCGGCAGTCCTGTGTGAACACCATCCAGAAACACCACCATCTTCTCTGGGTCAAAGCTCATTTATAACAGAAGTAAAGAGAAAAACTGTTCTGGGGTCAGAAAAATCCCATTGTTAAACTCTTTAAGGATACCATGACAGCCACGTCCTCCATACTAAAGAGGAGAGGGACCATCCACCCTGATATACTTACGCTGCACAAAAGCTTGCGTCTCTGATGGTATAGGGGTGCATTAGTTGTTATAGCAAGTGCAGCGTATTACACATCTGGAAAGGCAACATAAATGCAGACATATTTTCAGTGTTTACAACAACATATGCTCCCATCCAGACATTTATTCCAGGGATGTTTGGATTTTTCAGTAAGATGATGTAAAATCATCACTGCATCTACAATAACAAGGTAGATTTGTAGTAAAAGAGCCCAGTTGCTCAACTGACCTGACCACAGTCAAGACCTCTCACCAACTGAAAACAAACATCATGACATCCACAAACAAACAAATAATCCAGAACAGCTAGAACCCAACATCAGACGTGAATGGATCAATATTCCCATCAGGAACTGCTCTCCTCAGTAAAAGTTTACAGACTGTTGTTAAAAGAAGATGGGACCTGTCTGATCTTTATTGATAGGTGTTCATCAAATTCAAAATGACCTTTACGTTCATTGAAACTGTACATTTTCCTAGTTTAAACATTTAATATGGTTTTTCATTAGGCTTCATTGTGAATAAAATACAGGCTTATGAGATTTTCAGCTCATTGCTTTCTGCTTTTAATGTACATTTTACATCACAATGTAACTTTTGCGTTTGTTTTAACCATTTGAACTCGTCTTCTCCGTTCCCTTTTCATGCACCCACCGTTCTTTTTGTAAAAATGGACTTCGGCCTGGTACTCCTCTCGGCCCTCCAGAGCCTTCTCTATCTGCTGGGCCACGTGCTCGCTGGTGTCGTCCCCGTACAGGAAGTGGCAGGTGCAGTTCTTTTGCATCACCTCGGTTCGGGTGAAGCCGGTCAGCTCACAGAACCCGTCAGAGCAGTAAACGATGGGGTAGCCGCGGTGCCCCTGGGCATTGCCCAACAGGAAGTTACTGTCTGTGAAGAGGACAGGAGGTGTTAGAAACAAACTTGTTGTGGAACATTATGGGTTGATTTGATCATGCCAAAAGTAAATTTTGCGCAGACTTTTGGAAATAAATAAAGTGCTACATCTCATATTTCCCCACTAAAACGCTGCTCATTTTGCTTCTTTCCTGCTGTTCTGCTTTCAGCACCACGGACAGTTTCATCATTGAGCCGTGTCCGTTGCGCAGCACCAGTTCTTTGTTCTGGGATCTCATCCCAGTCGCTCCAGGCTGCAGCACTCAGGTCTCATGTTTGTTCTGGACACCTTCATATGTTCATCTACTGATCGTTGGAATCTGACGACGCACATTTCCTGGGTTTATTAAAGCAGGACGTTGATAGACCTTATTACTGTTTTTCTTTTACAATTTATGCTTTTGTTGGATGTAACTGGGACCCTGCGTACACAGTTTTGTTCCACCACACGTACCACATGTGATATGAATGACAATAAAGATACCTTGACATTGACCTTGTTGTGAGATAAACATATGGCCATCTGTCTTTCAGAAATATAATTCTAAAAAGTTTAAATCATAAGTATTTTGGGAGCTTTCCAAAGAAAATATGTTTTGATTGACATTGACACAAATTTTAAAAAAAGACTGGTTTTCTACCATTACATTTTTATGATACAAAGATTTACAGAAATAGGATCATTTCACACCCTAAATGTTTTCGTCGGACATTCTGTTTATCAATTCACAAATTACTTAATTAAATATATGTGTGCAAAATAATGTTTACATTTTTACTACAAGCTCGAAGGTTTGGCTGTTTCCTCTATAAGACAAACCCAGTCGACCTGTCTGCTGCTGAGTATTGAAAACGCTGCGGGCATGACGCAGTTTACCTGTGGTGTGTTGGCTGTTAGAAAGCTTTACAAAAACATTGTAGTCCGCATATCCTTTAAATGCACTTGAACTTTAAAAAGGTTTAATGAGTGGCAATCAGGTTGTTGGCATAAACTTAAATATTTGTGGCATGTTTAATAGATTTGATGCTGTGCTCAGCTAATCAACTTTTCTCCCTTTGTTGCCATTAACTATTTGGACTCAACTTTGTCTGTCTGTTAGCAAAATATCCCATGAACCACTAGATGTATTTTAATGACATTCTTAGTAAATAATCATTGGATGTACATCTACAAATGTTTAGCTTTGGGAGTCAAATCAATAAAAGATGAATACCACAACTAATCAACATTAGTCAACACAAAAATGGCTATAACTTAGTGAGTTTTGCAGATATTGAGTCAGAACTTGATGTGGTAGTAGCTGAGAGTCATTAGCAACACATACTTTGACTGTTGCACCAGATTGTGCATGATGTTACTTTTAAGGTTTTACCAAAACATCTTGAACTCATTTCTTAATGTAAGGCGATAAAACTCTAAAACTTTAGCATGAAAGGTGGCGAGTGATATGCATGCATTCAAGGAATGCTACACCTTTATTTGCCTATTTTTTATTTTGTTGTACGTGCACAATTTCCTCAATGTGTGTGATTTTATTGTGCATTTTAAACCTGAACCATTATTATTTTGTTACTTAAAAAGTAAATATTTTGGGGGGAAATGTTCAAGTGTGAATATAGGTGCTAAACTGAAAACACTGGAGTGCAGATTTTCTGAATGCCAAGACAGACTGATCAGTCTGAATGATCCTGACTCCGCTGAGAGCAAGGGAACATATTAAGCAGCTGCTGCTGCGCGACCCAACGTTCACATCTGTAATTGACCGGGCTGAGCAGAAAGCAATCCATGTGTATGCTTTTCATGAGCTGTGACAACCTTTCTTGAATGTGCAGTGAGCGGCAACTAAACTGTCACTGTGGAAATATAGAAAGAGACGGGCATTAGTCGGATCCATCAACGGGCCGGGGAAGGTTTTATGCTTATGCCGCGGCTTGTCAATTCCCCAGACTTCAACAGAAACAGACTGTTCTGTTCTGTAGCTTCCTGCAGATCTTTGAAAATATAAGGCTCAAGAATAGAAGTTTTATAAAGCTTCTTTTGTAAGAAAAGTCATGACCCTGCACATAAAGCGTTTCAGCTTTACCGTCGTACATCTTTAGGGTATAAATCGACGCAGAAACAATGACGGGATGAGATGTAGGCTCATGTTAAAGGATGAAAGAAAAGGGAAAAATGCCCTCTTTTATGTTCTATAAATTCCTGACACCACGACTCGGTGAGCCAACAAGTGCTGAAGAGGAGCTGCATTCATCTCTGGTTTATGTAATATTTACCCAAGAATAGGTACATCTCTACTCAGCAAGTTAAACTGGTCCTTTAAACGGGTCGAGAGCAGATTTGGTCATAAATCACTTTTAGAGCAAAGGAGCCGGGAAAGAGCCAAACTTTTGTGCTGTGTATGGAAATATGCAAAGTTGACAGGTTAGACTAGTTAATAGAATTTTGAGCAATTTTATTTAAGAGTCAAATCACCAACATTAAAAAAAAGGAATGAATGCATTCACCATTTACCCCAAATTTATTAATATAGGCAAACATGGTGATATGAAAACATAACAGATAGCACATTAGTGCTAACCTCATACAAACTGTTAGTTGCATGTTTATAAGACAAGATCAGACAACATTCATGAGTGAAGAACAAGTTCACAAAAAAAACAACTGTTACTGCTGCCTTGAGACAATCCTGGATGGCTGTAAGGTTTATTTTATAGAAAATGCTGTTATAATGAAAAATAAAAAATGCAGATCATCTCTGCTACTGAAGGTGAAATATGATGAAACAATCTTCTAGAATTTGTATTGTCAACTAAAATAAACAAAGTTAAAACTAGAGAAATTGTTTTTCCTGCTAAAATGCAGTGTGAATGCTTATTGCAGAACTCGCTGAAAAACTGCTGAAATAAGCTACAAAAAATGCAGAAATGTAGCTGAAATGGAAGAACATGCCTAAATTAGCATAAGAAAGCAGAAAGAACACATAATTGCTTAGTTAGGCCTAAATAAGCAGAAATTACCACAAAAAATAGTGAATTAGTAAAAAAAAAAGTCTGAAAGTTGGAGAAAAAAAATAGCTGACATGTAGCTGAAAAGGCAGAAGCTTAAAATACCAGAAGGAAGTGGAAAGAGCTGAAGTCATCTAAAAAGAAGTGGAAATAACTGAAAAGCTTAAATAAACCTAAAACAGCTAAATAGTAGCCGGCATAGCAGAAAAAGCTGAAACTAGCAGAAAAACCTTAAAGGAGAATAAAAAATTATATTAAATTAATTCTGCTTAAATTAACAGAAGAAGGCAGAAAGAACACATTTACACAGTTTGGCTAAAAGAAGCAGAAATGAGCACAAAAAAGTGTAAATTCTGTGAAAAAAGCTAAAAGTAAAAAAAAAAACAGCTGAAAAGTAGCTTAAAAAAAGCAGAAGAAAGCATAAATTAACAGAAGAAAGTGGAGAGAGCACCTCTTTTGCTGAAAAAAGTTTAAATGAGTGCAAAAAATGTGGAACAAGCTGAAAAAGCTCAAATAAAATAAACAGTTAAGTAATAGCTGAAATAGCAGAAAATGTTGAAACTTGCAGAAATAAGTTGAAAGGAGCACAACAAGCTGACATTAGCAGAAGGAAGATAGAAGAAGCACAAAAATGTTGTAGTTAACAGAAAGAATCTGAAAGGAGCACTAAATGGCTGAAATTAGCTGAAAATAGCTGAAATGTTTTTCAAATTGAACAAGGAAGCTGAAAGAAGCTGAACCAGAACAACATGTGAAAGGAACAGTAAAAGGTTGTAAACAGATCCAAAGATTTGAAAGATGTAAAATGAGATCAATTCATTTTCTATGAGAAGAAAAAAATGACAGAAAAGGCTAAATATTTCAAAAAGCTAAATTTGCACCAATACCTAAAGTCATATCAGGATTGTCCTTAAAGAGCTGAACATGTTGATCTATGATTTGTAGAAATAACACAAACATAATGAAATGAGAAAGATGCCAAAAAATGTACGGAAGAATTCAGAAGTGGCAAAAGAATCAACAAACCAAAATGCAAATGTTTCATGATTCACAGTTAGATTACAAGTGGTATCATATTTCAGTCAACCTGCTTTTCTCTATTAAAACCATTCACAAGGTGGAGAATCTTAAAGTACTTCTTTCAAATAATCCATTCCTCTGTTGTTATTTATTTATTTATTTTATTTATTTAATTATGTCTGTAGTTTTAAATACCAGAACAGATGTGAATAACCCCAAATCATAAAACATGATTTTACTTTTTATTTACCATGACATAATTGATACATTTACAGAAAAAAATTAAAAGGTAGATGATAACAGACTAGCAGTCCCTGAAAGAATACAAATCCCTCATCATCTTTCATGCCAGAGTTTTAAACCACAATCATATTACGCTTAGAAAGGACCGAATTATAGCTGTTTTAGCCAAATCTCGTAAATGCCATTCTTCACAATCTCATGGAACAATGTGAGCTCATGTGAGATGTGATAACACTCAGAGGATGTGTTTGGGGTGACTCTCAGCTACCACCACACAAGATTTTAGCTCAGTAGCTGCAAAAGCGACTTTATTATTGGAGCCATTTTTGTGATTTTAAGGTCGCCTGGCTGTGGCAGTCCTCTTGAATGTGGCTAACTCTGAGTGTTATCAGTTGTTGATAAATATCCAATTATTATTTGCTGAGTTTTAATTAAATTGATTCTCTTGTTCCTTTTTGTGGAGGACTGCAGTGCATCATCACAGCTCATGGTGTCCAGATGATTTGTTATTGAGTGTTCAGAAATATTTTCCTCTCATTCTACAATATAAAACTAATTTATTTTACCTTCATTTTGCCATACTTTGGAATACATGTATTTCTTAATGCTCCCAGTCTGTTTTAATTGGTCAGCTGATTGATCCAAAGTGTCTAAATGTCAGGATTTGGTGGTCAGGAACGAACCCAGTAGTGCAGACAGGACTCAACTCGGCAGATTACAAAAAT